TTAGGGATTTGCCGGTGAGTTTTCTCGACTCGTTAGCTTGAATTTTGTTGTGACAATGTTACTTCGCTCTGATGATGTCCGTCATATGACGGACGAAAGCTTAGCATCTTTTCACCGTAATCGAAGGAGATTGCCTCGGAAACAGCGTCAGCATGAATCTTCCAGTGAAGCAAATCAACAGCTGGTCAAGATGAATCCGCCGTCGTCTTCTGTTGCAACCGACCTTCGAATCTCTTCACCCAACACTTCCAGTCGAAATCGAAGTAAGCTCAACAAGGCAACCTTATTTGTAAGTAGGACTGGTAGTTGAATTTTCCGCAATAATATAAGTTCTCGAAGCATTTCACACAACCCTGCTTCCCAAAAGGTATTCTCATCTAGACAGGAGTGGATTGAAGTTTTGACCTCGCCTAAACTGGTCTCACCAGCAACTTCAGCGGGACTCGAACCGTGAGCATATAGCATATATGCCACACTGCTACGAGTGCCCTTAGGTTACAGGGCAGATGTAAAGTTCATGGAAGAAATTTCCCATATCACCTTTTGTATCTATGTTGACGTAACTTCTATCTTGTTTTATGAGGCAAGGGGATAGGATTATCTGGAGTAGTGACTAGATTTGTGCGAATGCGTCATCGGTGTACCGTTGCGCGACCCCGATAAATCGGTGATGAGCTTTCGTCCGTCATATGATAGACATCGTCGGAGTATAATTCTACATCCTACGATAATTCACCAAGCATAAAGACAAATGTCCATTACCAGGTTCTTTTCTTCGTTTCAATACTGTATTTATCATTGTGATCGAGTGCGTTACTTGGATCCAAATTGAGTAGATTTTGATGCTAGAGATGTTGTCTTCTTGTCTGTTTTACCTTATCCCACAATATAATGGGATATAGGGGAGGCCTAGTTTCCACCTTACGCGCACGACCAGATGAGATCGAAATTGCAGTGCACCCTGGTTGAGAACTCCTTCTGAGGAGCAAAGCCAAGGTAAAATTCAATGGAATTTTGAGGCCTACTCATATAATTGTGAAAAGATTCTACTATCGCCTTCCGTAAGCTTAGTTGACAACGGTTCTTATTCATATATCACTTTTATAGAAAAGATAAGCTTGCGTAGTATCCATAGAGGCTTTGTATATTCACTTTGTTAAAGATGGGCTTACGAGTTTCACATTTCAAGCTACCCCATCAGCGAGTGCAGCAAAAAGTTATCTTTACGATACGAAGAGAAACTTGGTTTTGATGAATCTACTGAGATAACATTGTTAGGAAGACCTTCACTTCGAATGAAAGTGTATGAAGAAGAGATTCATTGTAGATCTCACCAGATGAGGACGGATGGATCTCGTTGTACTGCAGCCGTTTGGCTTTTATACGATATTCATGTTGACGC